TCACTTGGCTCTGTCATATCCTCACATGGCCTCTCCTATCATTGCTACGCTGACGATACACAACTAATCTTCTCCTTTCCCCCTTCTGATAACCAGGTGGCGAATCGCATCTCTGCATGTCTGGCAGACATATCAGCATGGATGACGGATCACCACCTCAAGCTGAACCCTGGCAAGACGGAGCTGCTCTTCCTCCCGGGGAAGGACTGCCCGTTCCATGATCTCGCCATCACGGTTGACAACTCCGCTGTGTCCTCCTCCCAGAGTGCGAAGAGCCTAGGCGTGACCCTGGACAACACCCTGTCGTTCTCCGCCAACATCAAGGCGGTGACCCGCTCCTGCAGGTTCATGCTCTACAACATTCGGAGAGTACGACCCTGCCTTACACAGGAAGCGGCACAGGTCCTAATCCAGGCACTTGTCATCTCCCGTCTGGACTACTGCAACTCGCTGTTGGCTGGCCTCCCTGCCTGTGCCATTAAACCCCTACAACTCATCCAGAATGCCGCAGCCCGTCTGGTGTTCAACCTTCCCAAGTTCTCTCACGTCACCCCCCTCCTCCGCACATTCCACTGGCTTCCAGTTGAAGCTCGCATCCGCTACAAGACCATGGTGCTTGCCTATGGAGCAGTGAGGGGAACGGCACCTCTGTACCTTCGGGCTCTGATCAGTCCCTACACCCAAACGAGGGCATTGCGTTCATCCACCTCTGGCCTGCTGGCTCCCCTTCCTCTGCGGAAGCATAGTTCCCGCTCAGCCCAGTCAAAACTGTTCGCTGCTCTGGCACCCCAATGGTGGAACAAGCTCCCTCACGACGCCAGGACAGCGGAGTCACTCACCACCTTCCGGAGACATTTGAAACCCCACCTCTTTAAGGAATACCTGGGATAGGATAAAGTAATCCTTCTACCCCCCCCCCCCCCCCCCCCCCCCCCAAAAAAAAAAAATTTGTAAAGTGATTATCCCACTGGCTATAGGGTGAACGCACCAATTGGTGAGTCGCTCTGGATAAGAGCGTCTGCTAAATGACGTAAATGTGCCCTTGAGCAAGGCACTTAACCCTAATTGCTCCTGTAAGTCGCTCTGGATAAGAGCGTCTGCTAAATGACTAAAATGTAAAATGTAAAAAATGCATGACACAAGTAATTTTTCCAACAATTGTTTACAGACGTATTATTTCACTTAGAATTCATTGTATCACAATTCCAGTGGGTCACACGTTTACATACACTAAGTTGACTGTGCCTTTAAACAGCTTGGAAAATTCCAGAAAATGATGTCATGGCTTTAGAAGCTTCTGACATCATTTGAGTCAATTGGAGGTGTACCTGTGGATGTATTTCAAGGCCTACCTTCAAACTCAGTGCCTCTTTGCTTGACATCATGGGAAAATCAAAAGAAATCAGCCAAGACCTCAGAAAAGAAATTGTAGACCTCCACAAGTCTGGTTCATCCTTGGGAGCAATTTCCAAACACCTGAAGGTACCACGTTCATCTGTACAAACAATAGTACGCAAGTATAAACACCATGGGACCTTGCAGCCGTCATACCGCTCGGGAAGGAGACACGTTCTGTCTACAAGAGATGAACGTACTTTGGGGCGAAAAGTGCAAATCAATCCCAGAACAACAACAAAGGACCTTGTGAAGATGCTGGAGGAAACAGGTACAAAAGTATCTACAGTAAAACGAGTCCTATATCGACATAACCTGAAAGGCCGACTACGGTTTGCAACTGCACATGGGGACAAAGATCGTACTTTTTGGAGAAATGTCCTCTGGTCTGATGAAACAAAAATAGAACTGTTTGGCCATAATGACCATCGTTATGTTTGGAGAAAAAAGGGTGTTGCTAGCAAGCCAAAGAACACCATCCCAACCGTGAAGCACGGGGGTGGCAGCATCATGCTGTGGGGGTGCTTTGCTGCAGGAGGGACTAGTGCACTTCACAAAATAGATGGCACCATGAGGAAGGAAAATGATGTGGATATATTGAAGCAACATCTCAAGACATCAGTCAGGAAGTTAAAGCTTGGTCAATTACAGCTGCAAGTCTCTTGGGGTAAGTCTCTATGAGCTTGGCACATCTAGCCACTGGGATTTTTGCCCATTCTTCAAGGCAAAACTGCTCCAGCTCCTTCAAGTTGGATGGGTTCCGCTGGTGTACAGCATTCTTTAAGTCATACCACAGATTCTCAATTGGACTGAGGTCTGGGCTTTGACTACGCCATTCCAAGACATTTAAATGTTTCCCCTTAAATGACTCAAGTGTTGCTTTAGCAGTATGCTTAGGGTCATTGTCCTGCTGGAAGGTGAACCTCCGCACCAATCTCAAATCTCTGGAAGACTGAAACAGGTTTCCCTCAAGAATTTCCCTGTATTTAGCGCCATCCATCATTCCTTCAATTCTTTTTCCCAGTCTCTGCCGATGAAAAACATCCCCACAGCATGATGCTGCCACCACCATGCTTCACTGTGGGGATGGTGTTCTCGGGGTGATGAGAGGTGTTGGGTTTGCGCCAGACATAGCATTTTCCTTGATGGCCAAAAAGCTCAATTGTAGTCTCATCTGACCAGAGTACCTTCTACCATATGTTTGGGGAGTCTCCCACATGCCTTTTGTTTGCTTATCTTTTTCTTTAAGCAATGGCTTTTTTCTGGCCACTCTTCGGTAAAGCCCAGCTCTGTGGAGTGTTCGGCTTAAAGTGGTCCTATGGACATACTCCAATCTCCGCTGTGGAGCTTTGCAGCTCCTTCAGGGTTATCTTTGTTGCCTCTGATTAATGCCCTCCTTGCCTGGTCCGTGAGTTTTGGTGGGTGGCCCTCTCTTCGCAGGTTTGTTGTTGTGCCATATTCTTTTCATCTTTTAATCATGGATTTAATGGTGCTCCGTGGGATGTTCAAAGTTTCTGATATTTTTTTAGAACCCAACCCTGATCTGTACTTCTCCACAACTTTGTCCCTGACCTGTTTGGAGAGCTCCTTGTTCTTCATGGTGCTGCTTGCTTGGTGGTGCCCCTTGCTTACTGAGATCATGTGACACTTAGATTGCACACAGGTGGACTTGATTTACATTTTAACATTTACATTTTAGTCATTTAGCAGACGCTCTTATCCAGAGCGACTTACAGTTAGTGAGTGCATACATTTTCATACTGGCCCCCTATGGGAATCGAACCCACAACCCTGGCGTTGCAAACGCCATGCTCTACCAACTGAGCTACACAGGGCTTATTGTGTATGTCCATTACATGAAATCCAAATAAAAATCTATTTAAATTGCAGGTTGTAATGCAATAAAATAGGAAAAACGCAAAGGGGGATGAATACTTTTCAAGGCACTGTACCTAACAAGAGCCAGGTTGAGTGTGACCACTGTTGACAACTTATGTTGGAGCCTGCATGGTCAACATTTATTTTTTTATGTCTATTGTTCAAAATCAGAAAATTCCCTATCATTTGAAAACATCTAGTTTTTTTTTTTACTAATGGTTTACAATTGCGAAACTTTTTAAAAAAGTTGATCATACCTGACTAGACATACAAACATTATTAAGTATTAATAAACTTAAACTTAATTGAAATAAATACATGACGTGGTTTAGTTTTGGAACCTCTCTACCCATCTAATAATTCCCATTCTTGGACTGAGCAATGACCGTGTGAGACAATACGTGAAGGAACTGACACTTAAATCCTTTGTTTTTGGGGATGGTATTGGGAGCTGAGTACCATTTACTCAACATACTCAAGGCAAAAATTTGGTCATGCTGTAGTTGTGATGGTCCACACAAACCAGAAGCGGGCTTGGTGACAGAGGGTGTGGGAGTGAGAACACTCCTGTTGGACCAGTTTGGGAAGCAGGCCAGGATGCAGAGGAGAGAGGGGTGGAGAGACATGGCAGACCAACAACAATGGGCTGCCACCGCTATGGCCTTGACTGTGTTTGTATGTGCAGTTTGACTATTTACCCGAGGTTCCCTATACGCACTTGTTTAATGTAGAATGACATTCCCCCACACTATAATGACAAGTGAAGTAGCCTTTATTTTTATAACAATATTAACATGATTGAAGTGACTCAAGTGAAATAGTACTTATTTAAGGCTGAAAAGACAAAACTGCTTTAAAAGTAAAAGTTAGAGATTACCACAGCATATGCTTTTTGTTTTAAGTAGCTTTAGAGCTAAGACATTTAAGTGAAGCTACTGAAATATAGATTATGCTTATACAATGGCTATCTAAATTCAGAAGTCACACTAAGGCCGTTTGTGGTGACAGCTGCTCCATTATCTCTCTTTAATGGTTTTCTTAATAATGGACATTGTCAAACAAGCATCAGAACTGTTTTGCCCAAGCTGTATACTACACATTTGTAAACCAAATACAGTAAAATTGCACAAAACATTCCTTTATACCCATAGTATCTTACAGCTTTAGTCAGGGCTCCTGCATTCATAAGAGAGAGAGAGAGAGAGAGAGAATATTATGGTCCAAAACTAGTCAATTGATGATGACCAGGCACTTACTTACATTACATTCATGAAAATATTACATTATACATTTTATATTATAACTCTGATGATAAAAAGGCGTTGTTCCCTATAATACAAGGCTTGGTCAGTAGCAGACAATCACTTCACAATGGGTAGAAAGTGAGTTGTTTTGGTTGATTATTCTGAGTCAGCAATGACAGCACATATTCAGAAGTGTAAAAGGTCTGGTCATTACTGATCAACTGGGATTGCCATCTACAGTACAAGTGCACATGGTGGAGGTAAAGACTAGCAGGAGTAATAGTAAGCAAAGGCAAGATTCAAACAAGCTTCCTTTGTCTGTTTTGACTTTGTACGTGTGAGCTGCTTTCGACTCTAACCCCATCTCTGCTATGTTGTAATGGGTGGGCTGAGTCAAGCCTGATGATCAGACAGACCTACAGTACAGTAAGAACAGAGGAGAGGTAACACTTCTCTCCTAACTGGAGTGTGAAGACAGGCTCCTCATTCGCGGGACTCAACAGGGGGCTCGTTCGGGGGTGGGATCTTAACGTCGGAGGGCTCCACCCCCCAGATCTCGCGGGCGTACTCACTGATAGTTCGGTCACTGGAGAACTTGCCGGAACCAGCAATGTTGCGGATCACCGTCCTTGTCCAGTCTTTAGGATCCTGAAAATAAAACAAATCGGGAAGCTCACAATCAAAATGTAGGCCACAAACAACTGCATTCATCTTGTTTTGTCTAGTATGATAACGTAGAGTACACATACAATTGTAGGTGTCCACCATTATAACAGATGCAGTAATTCAACAGCCACAGAGGGAACTGGTAATAGAAGCTGGAAATTGTTGCACACTTTGTGACAACCCAATCAACCATTGAGCGCCTATGTCAACAGGAGCGCCAGCTCTCAATGAGACAAACTAAAGACATGAGACGGTAACCCAACTCCAGGACTGGGCTGCTGACAGGTAGACGTGACATGCTGACTGCCCTGACCTCCTAATGGTAGATAGATGGCTTTGCAGTTTGTGTTGGTTTGAAGGTAGACAGAACAATATCAGAAAGCACCCCCTGGTGGACATAATAAACACTGTCAAAGGGCCAGACTTCATCACAAGCTCAAATAGAGACAGAAGTATTGGAGAACTGTTCTTAAATGTTTTCATAGTATGAAATCCATTCCACATAACCAACCTTGTACAGCTCATTGACTCTGTTTTGGCAAGTGATGTAGGCCTCATAGTCAGCAAACACTTTGAACCTAAGGTGAGGCAGAATGACAAATTAGTGCTTAGGTTTTCAAATTTAGAGATATCACATCCATTTATGAATAATACAACATGATCAAGTACCCTATGGACTAACAGAAGCAGGAGGGTCAGTTCATCCTTGCGTTCTGAAGAGCTGACAATGCTAATAACACTGATACGTTAACGACACTGCTGCTATTCTGCTAACCTGTCGTGGTTCATCAGCATGTTCACCACATCTTTGAACAGCTCAGGATCCTTGGGACTGAAGTGGCCTGTCTGGATCTGATCAATAACCTGCTTCAGCTCTGGTAAACGTTCGTAGTACTCCCTGGCGTTGTACCTGGACAGATATATTGTTTGAAGGTTGCAAGATTATCCATATGATGGCTAAACATTACTGGATAAATAGTTCACCCAAAATACAAAATTACACATTGGTTTTAAGAGTGCACATGTTTGCCATTTCTCTGCGTGGAACACTGTCTCTTATTTCTAAGTCTATGACAAGTCCCACTCATTCTAACACACCAGTCCTGTCAGCAATTTCTCACCCTGTTTGGTCCATGGCTTCCACATCCTCCACCCTCATGCCGAAGATGAAGAGGTTCTCCTCTCCGGCCTCCTCAGCCATCTCTACGTTGGCTCCGTCCATGGTGCCGATGGTGAGTGCTCCGTTCAGCATGAACTTCATGTTGCCAGTGCCAGAGGCCTCTGTGCCCGCTGTGGAGATCTGCTCTGATAAATCAGCTGCAGGGATCACTGGAACATACAGCAGGGAGAGGCTTAAAAACAAACAAGGTATATCCTACCCAGTAACATGTAGACAAAGACATCATTAAAACATTTTGACATAATGTAATTGATATTATGCAGCAACTTTCCACAGTCCAAGCTCTTAACCAACAGCTCCATACAAACAGGATTTGGATGCGTCCAAATAATCCCTGCATCCTTCCTTTTCTTCAATAATACCTGACAGGACTTGATAGGGTTGAACCATATTGCTCACACCCATCCAGTCCTTTCATATTGATGGTCTTGAAGGAGAGAACATGAGGAAAGGAGGTCTGTGACTATTTGGACAAACCCCCTTCTCACCTTTCTCTGCCAGGGAGACCCTGTAATTCTCCAGGTAGATGACCTTTAACCTGTCCCCCACCACCAGGTCGTTGTTGACCACCTGGCCCACCGATGTGATCAGCTTGATTATCATCTTAGCCATGTGGTAGCCAGGTGCAGCCTGGGTAAAGAGGACAGTGCCAACAGTTGGATATTGATAAAAAATCTAACATATCTGATGTCTGAATTACTAATTTTCAGCGAATAAAAAGTATCACATACAAACAAATCGACAGATCAGTTATAACATCTTCATTATCAGAATACCATTTCCATGTAGACTGTTTGTGTCATACCTTAGATGTCTAGCTACATACCTTTCCTCCAATTATAACAGTCCTGGGAACAAAGTGCTTAGATGGGTCCTTTTTAATACCTGTAGAGAAATTGTTTTTAGTTACTTTTACTTTATTACAATTTATAGATTTATATTTCTTGCTGTGTTTCCTATATGTTTTATGTATTGAATATGTGAGCTGTGCCAAGATTTTCCTCTGGTAGGAAAATAAAACTTGATTCTTATTCTATCCAAACAACCCAGAACCAAATGAAAGTGTATCACGAGAGATTACTATCCAAACAGCAGAGGGTTTTCATTACCACCACTCTGTTCTAATGGAAATAGATTTTTGTGAAATGAATTACTCAATAGAAGTTGGCTGAAATAAATGTCAATATTTAAATTAGTTTAAATCATTAGGAATTTTAATCACTGGGCCCCGAGGGTTGCAGAAAGTGCTTCTTCACTGTGCAGTTGTTTGAAGTATGAAATTTCTGTCAGCACTAATATCACTCCAGATCTGAAGGAGCTCTTACGGTTGTAGAAGGTGATGATGTGGAGGACGTTGAGCAGTTGTCTCTTGTACTCATGGATTCTCTTCACCTGGATGTCAAAGATGGACTCAGGGTTGATATTCACTTCGTACTCCTTCTCCAGGTAGGCTGCAAACTTCTGCTTGTTCTCCTGTAATAACACACAGTGAGGGGTTTAAAGGTAGAGATATACTTTGAAAAATATAGATTTTAAGAATGTTGACCTGAATGAGTAGCTACCTGTTTCACATTGGCGATGTCCCGAATAAAATAATCATCATCAATGAAGTCCAGTAGTTTCCTCAGCTGGAAGAGGTCCGTCAAGAAATCGTCTCCAATTTTCTACAATGTAAACAAAAAGCATGAAACGTCTTAGCCGCATAAATAGTCATGTAATGGAATTAGAGTATGTTGACACCGATTGTGCAGAGAATTTCGTGATCTTGAAAAAGGACATACTGACCAAAGGGTCAAAACAATAAAGGGTAGACATGAGTTAATTGGGTGTGCAGGAGTATTAACCCACAATGATATTTATTCCCCAGCAGCACCATAAGCAGAGAAACGCTCTAAAAACACTGTTACCTCAGCGATGATGTTTGCCAGGCCTGGGTTACACAGAAGCAGCCAGCGCCGAGGAGTGATCCCATTGGTCTTGTTCTGGAACTTCTCCGGCTCCACCTCATAGAAGTCCTTGAAACTGAGGACGGAGAGGCATACAACAAGTTCAGTGTTGCACAGTCAGTAGCTGTTGTTAAATGCAACAGGAATGTCAACATAGCTGGAAAGCTAACAAAACTTTCTACAGGTTTGTCTGTAAACTGTTTTATGCAAAGCAGCCACTATCACCACTTATTTTGGTTTGACATATTTAATAATCAAAGGTATATTCAGGTGCAACACTCACACAGTATTCTTGATGATTTCAGAGTGGATCCGAGCAACCCCGTTGACAGCGTGGGAGCCCACCACACAGAGGTGGGCCATGTTGATCCTCTTGGAGTCCCCCTCCTCAATTAGGGACATCCTCCTCAGACGGTCATTGTCCCCTGGAAACATGGCAGCGATCCTCTGAGAGGGCACAGATAATCAATTCATAAGTCTACATTCACAAAGTAGACATTCATACAGTCCCAACTTGCATAGTGTGTAGTGGATATTACTAGTAAGGTAAAGTGACACTGATCTCAGATCTGTGGAAAGGAACAAGACAGCACTCAAAAAGTGGGGGAAATCCTTGAGAGCATAGAAAAAGATCCAAACACTCAATACATACTGGATAAGCTAGTTTGAGCACCCAGTATCAAAAACATGTACAAAGTCGAGATGAATGATAATATGTCTCATTTCAGAGCATCAGAATTCAGCCGCCTTTTCCACAGACTGTGAGTGAACACAGAGGGCTTACTTGAAGGTGGAGGTGGTTGATCTCATAGATGATCTGCAGGTGGCGAGGCAGTAGTTTTTCGAACAGGTTGACGGGCCAGCGCTCCAGGGCCTCAGGCAGGACAGTGTGGTTGGTGTAGGCACAGGTCTGACACGTCAACTCCCACGCCTGGAACATGCGGGAACACGGAGTGAGGAGAGGTGAGGCACAGGCATCACCGGTCATCAAAGTCTTTATGCAATAGAAGTGCATCAGAATCACAGCTAATAATCACATTTAAGATAAACCATTTTATTGTGTTGATTTGATAGGATAAATAACAAGTGTAATACTGTACATGTACAGGTTCAATGGGAAATGGATGTACTGTAGAATATAGTAAATGTATATCAATCAATATGATTCCTAGCCAACTGTATTATTTCATCAAGTAGAAGGAATTTTTCCTTGAGGAGGGAAGCATTGATTGCGCTGACAGACACGGTCACCTTTTTTCTAGCTCCTAGAAAACTTTGCCATATTTTGCTTTTTTCAGTGCTATTTATTACCTTATTGTCTCAGAACGTTTCTAGTATTATTTCCTATAGCCGAAAATAACTTTTGGGCATTAGTTCGGTGGTCACTCACCAGAAATTCGACTTCCCTGACCTGGATCCTTTGTTTGGACTTCCAGAGGCAGCCCCATTCATCCTGAATGCTACAACAACGTTGATGCCGGAAGAGAGGGATGAGAGGTGGGGTTCTAGTCAGGCTCAGGCGGCGGGCAAACTATCCACCGCTTCCGAGGATATTACGCGCTATCGTTCAGTCCCTGGACGATAAAGTAGACGAGCTCAGGACGAGGATCTCCTTTCAGAGAGACATAAGGGACTGTAACTTACTCGATTTTACAGAATCATGTCTCTCTCCGGATATATTGTCTCCATCCATACAGCCAGTGGGGTTCTCCATTCATTGCGCTGACAGGATGAAAGAACTCTCCGAAAAAAACAAAGGTGGAGGGGTATGTCTCATGATTAGAGCCCTGCACGGGCATTCATTTTAAGCCAGAGCCCTACCCATGCCCGCGACGTTCATGCCCTACCCTACCCAGGCCCGATTGCTTCTGACAAATTTAAGGCCCTGCCTGAAACCCGAAATAAAAAATTCCTCCATTAGTAAATCTATTAGCTGCTCCTCTTTTTCTGTCACTCGCTCTGCATGCACTCTGCTCATGGCAGCTCTGGGTCTCTGAGTATCCATAGCAATGGCTCCACTTGGGACGATATGCTCAATGATGAGACAGAGAGAAGTTAGCTGTTAGCTACTTTTCGTCACTCTAAACTCAGACAAAACTCAAGTAACATTATTTTCTGTTAAATAATCTTTCCTGTTTTATATTTGATGAGGTTTAAGCACTTCTGCCAAATGGCTCAGCTTCAAAATGCTAGTGATCAATTGAGTGATACCCAAGCCCTGCCCATACCCTAGTTATTGCTGAAAAAAACAGACGCTACCCGGCCCTAACCCAATGTATAATGTTGTGGGCCGTCGGGCTCGGGTTGGGTAGCAGAGCTCAAGTCATGATCAACAACTCCTGGTGTGATTGTGGCAACGAACAGGAACTCAAGTCCTTTTGTTCTCCCGATCTGGAATACCTCACCATCAAATGCCGACCGCATTACCTCCCGAGATAATTTTCTTTGGTTATTGTCACTGCCGTGTATATTCTCCCCCAAGCTGACACCGCAGCGGCTCTCAACAAACTACACTAGACTTTGTGCAAACTGGAAACCGCATATCCTGAGGCCGCACTTATTGTAGCTGGGGACTTTAATAAAGCAAATCAGATCACGCCTCCATCCTGCTCCTCCCCGGCTATAGGGAGAAATTTGAACAGGAAGCACCCGTGGTACAGACTGTTCAACATTGGTCTGACCAATCGGAATCTATGCTTCAAGACTGATCACGCGGACTGGAAAATGTTCCGGGTCGCCTCTGGGAATAGTATCGACGTATACACTGACTGTGACTAGGTTCATCAGGAAGTGCATAGAGGATGTTGTTCCTACTGTACACAGTCCTCACGAGGACTCCCGATCTCCATGGTTGACGTAAGACATTCAAGTGTGTTAACCTCTCGCAAGGCAGCAGGTAGCGTTGGGCCAGTAATCGAAAGGTCGCTGATTCGAAATCCCCGAGCCAACTACGTGAAAAATCTGTTGATGTGCCCTTGAGCAAGGCACTTGACCATAATTGCTCCTGTAAGTCGCTCTGGATAAGAGCGCCTGCTTAATGACTAAAATGTAAATGTAAGGCTGCCAGCCCAGACAGCATCCCAAGCCGCATCCTCAGAGCATGCAGACCAGCTGGCTGGAGTGTATCACGGACATATTCAATCTCTCCCTATCCTAGTCTGTTATCCTCACTTGCTTCAAGATGTCCACCATTGTTCCTGTACCCAAGAAAGTGAAGGTAACTAAACTAAATGACGATCGCCATGTAGCACTCACTTCGGTCATCATGAAGTGCTTTGAGAGGCTAGTTAAGGATCATATCACCCTACCCTAGACCCACTACAATTTGCCTACCGCCCCAACAGATCCACGGACGACGCAATCGCCATCACACTGAATACCTATGTGAGAATGCTGTTCATCGACTACAGCTCAGCCTTCAACACCATAGTGCCCTTCAAGCTCATCACTAAGCTCAGGGCCCTGGGTCTGAACCCTTCCCTGTGCAACTGGGTCCTAGACTTCCTGACAGGCCGACCCTAGGTGGTTAAGGTAGGCAACAACACCTCCGCCACACTGATCCTCAACACTGGGGCCCCACAGGGGTTCGTGCTCATCCCCCTCCTGTACTCCCTGTTCACCCATGACTGTGTGGCTACGCACGTCTCCAACTCAATCATCAAGTTTGTTGATGACACAACAGTGCTAGGCCTGATTACCAACAAAGCCTACAGCAGTGGTCACCAACCTTTTCTGAGTCAAGATCACTTTCGCTGTCAAAAAAGCAAGCTGAGATCTACCGCTCAGATTTTTTTTTTTGCATGACTTAAAAATGTTTACATTAACCTAATAAAAACAGTTCTGTAGGAATGAGGTTTGTGCAGTAGGCCTAATAGCCTACATTATCACAGCATATTGGCTATATGCCTGGCAGACAATATTGTTCTTCTCAGGCCATATTATATTTCAAAACATTAGCTTTTATAACAAAATAGATCAGAATGGTGTAGCACTTGCGAGGGACACAGCTGACCATAAATTGAAATAATTTGCAAATAATTCGTTTTTTTTATTTTAACTGGACTTATGGTACCTGCATCTGATGGTCATGGTGCCTTCAAGACAACTGGGAACTAGGGGGAAAAAATCATGATGTCAGTGATCTTCAGGTTGGAAAGTCAGAGCTCGACTTGGAATTCCGAGTTGGATGACCATTCGAAACGATTCTTCCCAGTCGGATCTCGTTTTTTCCCCGGGTTGCCAGTTGTCTTGAACGCACTGAAGTCAGAGATTTCCGAGTTCCGAGTTCCCAATTGTTTTGAACACAGCATTATTCTCAGTGGAGGGAGGGAGAAAGCAGCAGAGGGCCGCCTCTCTCGGTCCCTGCTCTCTCCTTCCTTTCCTCCGGTGAGACTGACCAGAGACAGGGGACACAGTCTTCCACCTGATGGCGAAACTCGAGACGCACCGCAAATTGATCTGCACACCACCTCTTGCTGTATTCATTGACAGTCTCTCTCTGGTCATGGTCTTAAAAGTTATGAAATCTCACATAGGCTACTATCAAACGTGGAAGCTGTAGGAACTGTGATTTGAGCTATCCGATTGGCCAGCACAGTAGGCAACTTGATTTAGCCACAGATCTCCCGGTCTGCCGGGCAGGCGGAGTTGATCTTTTCAGACAAATGAAATGTTCAAAATAGGAACACTTTGCTTACCCGATGCAAAGGGCTTCTGAATCAAGTGCACCTACTGCCAACAGCGCAACACGAACAATATAAAAAAAGGAGTGCAAGCCTTTATTCGTTGGTTTTTTACAGAAATGTTTGGTGATCGACTATGAATGCCTTGAAGATCGACCAGTCGATCATGATCAGCTGGTTGGTGACCACTGGCCTACAGGGAGGAGGTGAGAGCCCTGGCGGAGTGGTGCCAGGAAGATAACCTCTCCCTCAACGTTGATCGTGGACTACAGGAGACAGCAGAGAGAGCATGCCCCCATCCACATTGACGGGGCCGCAGTGGAGAGGGTCAAAAGTTTCAAGTTTCTCAGCGTGCACATCACTGTGGACCTGAAATGGTCCCTCCACACAACAGCGTGGTGAAGAAGGCGCAACTCCACCTCTTCAACCTCAGGTGGCTGAAGAAATTCGGCATGGCCAGTAAGACCCTCACCAACTTCTACAGATGCATATTCGAGAGCATTCTGTCAGCCTGATACGGCAACTGCACTGCCGCAACCAGAGAGGGTGGTGCTGTCAGCCCAACGCATCACCAAGGACACAATGCCTGCCCTCCAGGACATCTACAGCACCCAGTGTCACAGGAAGGCCAAGAAGATCAGACACGCGAGCCATGGCCTGTTCACCCCGTATACCATCTAGAAGGCGGAGACAGTACAGGTGCATTAAAGCTGGGACCGAAAGACTGAAAAACAGCTTCGATCTCCAGGCCATCTGACTATTAAACAGTCATCCCTAGCCGGCCTCCGCCAAGTACCCTGCCCTGAACCTTAGAGACTGCTTCCCTATGTCATTGAACGCTTGTCACTTTAATAATGTTTACATACAGTACCAGTCAAAAGTTTGGACACACCTACTCATTAAAGGGTTTTTATTTATTTTTACTATTTTCTACATTGTAGAATAATAGTGAAGACATCAAAACTATGAAGTAACATATATGGAATCATGTATTGCAAAAAAGAGAGAATAATTTCTGAATGCACCGTATACATATACACAATATATATATATATATATATATATATATATATACACACACACACACACACACACACATATATATATATATATATATATATATATATATATATATATATATTATACACACTCCGTGGAGAGTTTATTAGGTACAACCATCTAGTTCCGGACTCTACCATTGCTCGCTCTGATATTTCTTAATTTCTTTTAGTAATTTCTGGGGATGGATTATGTGTGTATTGTTATTGTATTGCAAGATATTACTGCACTGCTGGTGCTAAAAACATAAGCATTTTTATGTACCTGCGATAACATCTGCAAATCTGTGTACACAACCAATACACTTTGATTTTATTTGCCCAATACCCAGGCTCCACCCAAGCTCAAGATGCTGGATCAGTTACCACTTCACGACGACTTGGCAGAGGAGAGCCACCCTCCTCAAACAATGCAGCCCAATAACAGCTCTGGTTTCCAGTTCAACCAGAGTTCACATGGGACCCAGTCCCACACCCAAGCAGTCCTATTATTTACAAAGTACAGTGTGTTATTGTCATAGTGAGGGCCCAGCCTGGGAGAATATGTTACCTTGTCCCAATCCAACTTTTCCACATCCACTAGGATCCTCATCAGCTCAGGGATGGCCAAGGCAGGGTGGGTGTCATTCAGCTGGATAGCCACCTACCAGTGGGTGGAGAGAGGAGAGAGAGTGTGTCAGTCATGGCCATGGTTTAATGGTTGCACTAATTATAAAATGTGTAATATTAAAGGTTTTTCTCTATGAGAAAATTTAAGGAACAGCTATAGTGTTGGGTCTTTGAAAAACCCATTGACTGCTCACATTGGATATAGTAAAATACAGTACCTTCTCTGGGAAGGTCTCGAAGGAGGTTCTGACGGGGTCTCTGCAGCCAAACTTGGAGGACTTGAAACGGCGGATGATGTCCTGCAGTGTGGCGGCCACCACAAAATACTCCTGCTTCAGACGCAACTCCTTGCCCTCGAAGAACTGAACACACACACACACGCTTTAGACAGAGGCTATTCTCAAAGCAATCACTCAAGGGCAAGTTGACCTCATGTGGTATGTCCCTAGCATCAGTTTAGCGTCTAACAATTTCTCACACTACCATGTCATATTCAGCAGGAGTATGAGAGGCACGGGTGCATCCCACTTTCACCAAATGCTGCTTTTATTTATCCGGGGATAAACTGGGCAGGCATAAGGACATACCTCTGCATAAGGACATACAGTGGCTTCAGAAAGTTTTCATACCACTTGACTTATTCCACATTTTGTTGTGTTACAGCCTGAATTCAAAATGGATTAAATAAAATATAAATATCTCACCCATCTACACACAATAACCCCTAATGACAAAGTGAAAATCTTGCCATAGATTTTCAAGCCGATATTAAGTCAAAACTGTAACTAGGCCACTCAGGAACATTCATTGTCGTCTTAGTAAGTAACTCCAGTGTATATTGGGCCTTGTGTTTTAGGTTATTGTCCTGCTGAAAGGTGAACTTGTCTCCCAGTGTCTGTTGGAAAGCAGACTGGACCAGGTTTTCCTCTTGGATTTTGCCTGTGCTTAGCTCTATTCCATTTATTATTATTATAAAAAAATCCCTAGTCCTTGCCGATGACAAGCATACCCATAACATAATGCAGCCAACACCATGGTTGAAAATATGAATAGTGGTACTCAGTGATGTGTTGTGTTGGATTTGCCCCAAACATAACGCTTTGTATTCAGGAGACAAAGTAAATTTCTTTGCCAATTTCTTTGCAGTTTTCCTTTAGTGCCTTGTTGCAAACAGGATGCATGTTTTGGAATATGTTTATACTGTACAGGCTTCCTTCTTTTCACTCTGTCAATGGGTTTAGTATTGTGGAGTAACTATAATGTTGTTGATCCATCGTCAGTTATTTCCTATCACAGCCATTAAACTCTGTAATTGTTTCAAAGTCACCATTGGCCTCATGGTGAAATCCCTGAGCGGTTTCCTTCCTCTCCGGCAACTGAGTTAAGAAGGACGCCTGTGTCTTTGTAGTGACTGGGTGTATTGATACACCATCCAAAGTGTAATTAATATCTTCACCATGCTGAAAGGGATATTAAATGTCTGCTTTTCTTTGTTTTACCCATCTACCAATAGGTGCCCTTCTTTGCGAGGCATTGGAAAACGTCCCTGGTCTTTATGGTTGAATCTGTGTTTGAAATTCACCGCTCAACTAAGGGGTCTTACAGATAATTGTGTGTGGTACAGAGATGAGGTAGTCAAAAAAAAAACATGGTAAAAACGATTATTGCACACAGAGTGAATTGTTAAGCACATTTGTACTCCTGAACTTATTTAGGCTTGCCATAACAAAGGGGTTGAATACTTATTGACTCAAGACATTTCAGCTTTGAATTTGTAATTAATTTGTATTTAAAAAATCTTCAGTTATATAGTTGCCATGGCACCTAGTGGCAGCCTAGTCAGAGAGCTTGTGTAAATTCTGTACATATGGCCTCCCGAGTGGCGCAGCGGTCTAAGGCACTGCATCGCAGTGTTAGAGGCGTTACTACAGACCCGGGTTCATTCCCGGGCTGTGCCACAACTGGCCGTGGCCGGGAGTCCCATAGGACGGTGCACATTTGGCCCAGCGTCGTCTGGGTTAGGGGAGGATTTGGCCGGTAGGGCTTTACTTGGCTCATTGCACTCTAGCGACTCCTTGTGGCGGGCCAGGTGCCTGCAGGCTGAGCCCAGTCACCAGTTGAACAGTGTTTCCTCCGACACATTGGTGCGGCTGGCTGGTGGGTGTTAAGGAGTGAGGTTAGGCGGGTCATGTTTCAGAGGACACATGACTCCACCTTCGCCTCTCCTAAGCCCGTTGGGGAGTTTCAGCAATGAGACAAGATCAAAAATTGGGGGTAAAATACAAAATATATCAAAGAATTCTGTACATATATATATTTTTTAATGTATGTACATTTTTTAAAACCTTTTTCAATAGTGAAATGAGTGCAGATTAAGTCTTGATATCAAGAATTGGATTCCTGCCCGTAACTTGATGAAAATCAGTGTTGTCAACAAGCTAGCTAATAGGTGTGTTTTCATTTGAATTGCACCTACTGACGTTGGGTTGTTTTTCACCAATGGTGACCAAGAGGAGGCTATGCATGCATAGTTGGCAGTGGACCAGCTTTTTCATTGCTCAGGATCAGTGGTGTAAAGTACTTAAGTAAAAAGACTTTAAAGTAGAAAATAACTTAAAGTACTACTTATATATTTTGGGGTGTATCTCTACTTTACTTTAATATTTATGACAACTTTTACTTCACTACATTCCTAAAGAAAATAAAGTACTTTTTACTCCATACATTTTCCCTGACACCCAAAAGTACTTGTTCCATTTTGAATGCTTAGCAGGACAGGTAAATTGTCAAATTCACACACTTATCAAGAGAACATCCCTGGTCATCCCTACTGACTCTGATTTGGCAGACTCACTAAACACAAATGCTTCGTTTGTAAATTATGTGTGAGTTTTGGAGTGTGCCCCTGGCTATCCGTAAAATTAAATTGTGCCATCTGGTTTGCTTAAAATAAGCAATTTGAGATGATTTATACTTTTACTTTTGATACTTAAGTATATTTAAAACCAAATACTTCTATACTTTTACTCAAGTAGTATTTTACTGGGTGACTTTCACTTTTACTTGAGTCATTTTCTATTAAGGTATCTTTACTTTGACTAAAGTATGACAATTGGGTACTTATTCCACCACTGCTGAGGATGATACTTCTGAAGTAAGGAGTGGGCTGTACTCTGTGGGGATCACAAAATTAATCACAGTGTCCCATTACAAAGAAGCTGCAGACAGACGGCAGAGACGCCCTGATGACATCGAGCTGCCTGCCTGCCTGCCCTTGGACATGGTGACCAGATCACCACCTCTGACCACCACCTCCGCTGACCATCTAGCTATGAGCTTCCCGATCCTCTCATGACCACGGCTGTCCATCTGCTGGAGGCTTCAAGAAGCACTCAGACTTTAATTTAACTAGCTGATCTAGCTACCGCTGTAGCCTCGATTTCATTTTAAATTAGGCCTACTTGTTTATTTTGCTTAACTAGCAGTTTGAGATTCTGTCTGTAATGAAAAGCTCCATAAAAGTTTAATAAATTATGATTATTATCTTGAGTAATACCATTTTCAGTGCATGTTGAGCAACCTTGCTGTTTCCTAATCCCAACTTGAACAGCTGATCTGCTTCATGTTACATATCTGAGTCTGCTGCACTGAGGAGATTGTGCTGAACGATGCACTGAGGCACACCACCACCACAACACATCCCTGATGACCTTATTAGGTCATGGCTGTAGAGAATGCACCACCCCCATGTGGCCTTGTTAATATCTTTCTCTCTCACACTATCGCTTGTCACTTTCACTTTGAGCACTTGCAGAATGACATCTCTACTCAAAAAGGGTTACATAGATACTCACATTGTCGTTGGGATAGAGGACTCGTGAGATGTTCTCAGCCAGATTGCGGTCCAACACAGCTTCAATGTAGTCGCCAACATTGACTGTACAAGAGAGAAAGGGAACATTTTGATAATACAGTATCACATCAGCAATCACTCCAGATAGGGGATGATCTCTTCTTCACAGGCTTTAGGTTGCTTGCTTGTTGTGGGTCCTTATGTGGCTGAGCAGTATAGGCACACCGTATAAACAGCATCCTGGATGTAAACAGCACTTTGAAAAATGTTTTTTAACTAACCCTATTGCAATTGAGTAGTGGTTGGAAAGAAAAGTTCAATCTAATGCTTAATTCAAACGGACATCTAAGTGGTCACTAGAGAGGTGTAAAATGGCCCCTCTACAAACAGTAAACCTGTATACTTGTCATCAAAAAGAAATAAAAAAGAAAGGAGGACCTGTATATTTGTCCCTTGCTGTAACCACTTATTGCTTACATGAGCCCAAGGCTACACTTGCTTGCACGGTTAACATTAACTCAACCAAATCTAAAAAAGCTTGGAAGACCACACTCACCTCACCAGGAGTATGGCACCCCATCTTAGTGTGACGTAATGTCACAGCATTTGAAATGGGATCCAGTGTTGAATTTATTTACTCTGAGCATGGCCAACTTCATTAAGGACTTTCTGCACAACAGTGGAGAGTTTGTGGACAGCGTCAGCATAGAAAGCACCCTAACCTCCACCTTCTAGGCAGAGTTGCAAAGAAAAAGCCATATCTCAGACTGGCCAATAAAAATAAAAGATTAAGATGGGCAGTCTGAGATATGGCTTTTTCTTTGCAACTCTGCCTAGAAGGTCAGCATCCCGGAGTCGCCTCTTCACTGTTGACGTTGAGTGTTTTGCGGGTACTATTTAATGAAGCTGCCAGTTGAGGACCTGTGAGGCGCATGTTTCTCAAACTAGACACTCTAATGTATTTATCCTCTTGCTCAGTTGTGCACCGGGGCCTCCCACTCCTCTTTCTATTCTGGTTAGAGCCAGTTTGCGCTGTTCTGTGAAGGGAGTAGTACACAGCGTTGTACGAGATCTTCAGTTTCTTGGCAATTTCTCGCATGGAATAGCCTTCATTTCTCAGAACAAGAATAGACTGACGAGTTTCAGAAGAAAGTTATTTGTTTCTAGCCATTTTGAGCCTGTAATCGAACCCACAATTGCTGATGCTCCTGATACTCAACTAGTCTCAAGAAGGCCAGTTTTATTGCTTCTTTAATCAGCACAACAGTTTTCAGCTGTGCTAACATAATTGCAAAAGTGTTTTCTAATGATCAATTAGCCTTTTAAAATGATCAGCCGTTTCCAGCTACAATAGCCATTTACAACATGAACAATGTCTACACTGTATTTTTGATCAATTTGATGTTATTTTAATGGACAAAAAAAGTGCTTTTCTTTAGAAAACAAGGACCTTTCTAAGTGACCCCAAACCTTTGAACGGTAGTGTATGTGATTCAGAATCTTGAGAATGTGCCTTTTGCTAAATGACTAAAAAATATACTAGTTATACTGCAATCTTTTTTCGTAAGGGCTGTATTAAAACTTTTACCATGGCCGGATCCTGGAAGTCATGTCTCCTCTTGCCTTTTCAGTCAACTTGCTACTGACAAATTACAGCTTACAAAATACTCTTGAGTAGTGTTATCACTCCCTACTGACTGTTACAGTTTATTCCAACTGCTTACACACAAAATCTTTTAATGTCACACGATTTTTTAAACCTCTCACTCAAAGTGCAAAACTACACACTAAATCTCCAAAACCATAAGCTATTTCTCAGCCTTTGACTCAGTTGTCAATTGCATAAAACACTTTTTTCTAAACACTACACACAATTCTCTACCTAAAACACAAAAATCTAACAGGAAGTGACTTGCTTTCCTTTTCCAAACACAACCAATCAAAATGCTACACTTATTCACCAGGTCAAACACACTCTCCTCACATGTTCAAACACTAATTGCTTAACTGATCACTAACCAATCACTGCTTTACTGTAGTATAGGACTGTTTTGAACAATGGATGCCAACAATGGACAGAGAGCAAGAGGAGTAGGAGGGAGAGGCAGGGGACAACAACGAGGACAAATTCAAAGACGAATTGTTGGAAGAGGAGGAGTAGGAGGTAGAGGAAGAGGAAGAGTCCTATTACTTTCACTGTAGAACATTTTGTCTGTTACAGAGAGTATTGGAGATGGATGCCCATGTACATTTATTTATGTGGATGAGGTTGGCTTCAACCTCACCAAAACCAGGCGCCGCGGAATAAATGTAATAGGACAGAGGGCAATTACCTATGTCCCTGGACAGCGTGGGGGTAATATAACTATGTGTGCTGCCATCACTCAAAACGGGGTCCTCCATCACAATGCCACACTGGGTCCGTACAACACCGGCCATATCCTCACTTTTCTGGATGCAATTTACACAATGCTTGTCCCTGATCCATATCAGGAGCCTGCTAGATTTGTGGTTATATGGGACAATGTTAGTTTTCACCGGGCTGTTCTGGTCCAAAACTGGTTTGCCACCCATCCACAATTTGTAGTTTTGTACCTACCCCCATATTCACCTTTTCTAAATCCCATAGAGGAATTCTTCTCAGCCTGGCGCTGGAAAGTGTATGATTGCCAACCCTATGCCCGCGTGCCGCTTCTCCAGGCAATGGAGGACGCATGTGGGGACATAGAGGTTGCCTCTGTCCAAGGTTGGATACGCCATGCTAGGAGATACTTCCCTCGATGTTTGGCAAGAGAAAACGTATCTTGTGATGTGGACGAAGTATTGTGGCCAGACCCAGCCCGGAGAAGAGATGAAGCGTAGCTTAGCACTGGTGACTGCCCCCCCCCCTACCATTTCCTGGACTGCACCCCCGGGACCCCCCACACACAATTGTGTTCTTTACTGTATTCTAAAGAATATACTTTTGGTTTACATATGTTTATGGTTTTGTTGTATGCTACTGTATACAACAGTAATGTTTGGCCTAATAAATATTTTCTGTTTCTACATTGCATTGGTGTTTACAGTGTACTTGTTACCCCTCTCAGCAGATTACTTTCACTGTAGAACATTGTATTGAAATGTATATATAAGCCTATGAAAGACCAAAGAGCTTTAGATTTAGAACAACAGTGTTTACATGGTATATCCAAAAATGTACTATTATGAAAGTAGTGTTTGCCATTTGATGCAAATGCTTCATTCTGACATGTGTTTATGGCATTTTGAATGAAGTGTTACATTTTGAAGGAGATGTGAGGCATTTTGCATTTGGTGTGTGCAGTTTTGGGAATTGTGTGTAGAGTTTTGAAAAAAGGCGACATAGTTTTGAAAACGTGTGTAAGCAGTTGGAAAAAACTGTAAAACAGGCTATACAGTCAACAGCCAATAGCCCACAGTAAACAGATCTATGATCAAAATGGCCATGGAGACGTACATTCCTGCAGGTTGAAGTCATTGGGTGCTTTAGCAGACCACAGCCTCATGGTGTTAACTGTGTTGTTCTTGAATCCAGGCACAGGAGTATCATAAGGCATGGCTAGGACAACCTAGGGAACAAAACTAAAAGTATTAGGAGAAAGAAGATGGGAAACAGAAAGAAGAGAAAACAACATTGACTCAAGGGTTTGTGTGTGTGTGTGTGTGTGTGTGTGTGTGTGTGTGTGTGTGTGTGTGTGTGTGTGTGTGTGCGTGTGTGCGTGCGTGCGTGCGCGTGCGTGCGTGTGTGAGTGTGAGTGTGTGTTTGTGTGTGTGTGTGTGTGTGCATGCGTACTCACCTGGGTGTCCATCCACTTTACTCCCTTCCCTGTGTGTTCCACTCGGCCATAGAAGTGCACAGGGAGCATGTACTCTGGACGAGCCTTCTCCCACGGGTTCCCATACCGCAGCCAATCATCAGCCTCCTCCACCTGAGAAGGACAAATAGCGGTATTCAAATCAAAGTATGGATGCATTATAACAACCTCTAAATGTGACCAGAAAATAATGTCATGCTGCATTACCTGCCAGCCATTCGTGATCTTCTGGTTAAAGATGCCAAACTCATACCGGATGCCATAGCCATAGGCTGCCAGGCCTAAAGAGGCCATGGAGTCCAAGAAACAAGCTGAAATGGAGGAATATGGGAAACGTCCATTTCTTATGGTATGCTCATTTGTCTGCACTGGGTGAGATGTTTGAGCTTACACAGATAATGTTAGAATGTCACAAGGCAAAGAGTGTTTGATGCCTTACCTGCAAGGCGGCCCAGTCCCCCGTTCCCCAACCCAGCATCCTCCTCTATCTCCTCCAGCTCCTCTATGTCCAAGCCCAGCTGGTCAACAGAGAGAAATTGTTAGAAACATCACCTATACAGTAAAGCATCAGGTGCCAATAGAGAGTTTGACATGAACTTGAGTAACCCTTGTGTGTGTTGTAGAAGCTAAAAGCAAAGCGAATCCTCCTTCATATAGGCCTACTATTTTTAAGGTTTGAATTTGATTAAGCAAATTCATGTACTCCCTTTTCACCCACGACTGCGTGGCCAAGCACGACTCCAACACCATCATTATGTTTGCTGACGACACAACAGTGGTAGGCCTGATCACCGACAACGATGAGACAGCCTATAGGGACGAGGTCAAAGACCTGGCAGTGTGGTGCCAGGACAACAACCTCTCCCTCAACGTGAGCAAGACAAAGGAGCTGATCGTGGACTACAGGAAAAGGAGGGCCGAACACACCCCCATTCACATCGACGGGGCTGTAGTGGAGCGGGTCGAGAGTTTCAAGTTCCTTGGTGTCCATATCACCAACAAACTATCATGGTCAAACACACCAAGACAGTTGTGAAGAGGGCACGACAACACCTTTTCCCCTTCAGGAGACTGAAAAGATTTGGCATGGGTCCCCAGATCCTCAAAATGTTATACAGCTGCACCATCGAGAGCATCCTGACTGGTTGCATCACCACCTGGTATGGCAACTGCTCGGCATCTGACCATAAGGCACTACAGAGGGTAGTGCGTGCAGCCCAATACATCACTGGGGCCAAGCTTCCTGCCATCCAGGACCTATATACTAGGCGATGTCACTCCAGTCACCCAAGTCATAGACTGTTCTCTCTGCTACCGCACGGCAAGTGGTACCGGAGCACCAAGTCTAGGTCCAAAAGGCTCCTTAACAGCTTCTACCCCCAAGCTATAAGACTGCTGAACAATTAATCAAATGGCCACCCGGACTATTTACATTGACTCCCCCCCGCTACTCTCTGTTTATTATCTATGCATAGTCACTTTACCCCAACCTACATGTACAAACTATCGCAACTAACCTGTATCCCCGCACATTGACTCGGTACCGGTACCCCCTGTATATAGCCTCGTTATTGTTATGTAATTTTATTGTGTTACTTTTTATTTTTTCACTTTAGTTTATTTAGTAAATATTTTCTGAACTCTATTTCTTGAACTGCGTTGTTGGTTAAGGGCTTGTAAGTAAGCATTTCATGGTAAGGTCTACACATGTTGTATTCGGCGCATGTGACAAATAAATGTGGATTTGATTGAAGTAGTATGTAGCCAAGCCAACTTGTGAGTTAGTTGGAGCGTGAGAGGGTGCGTGTGTGTTTTATCTTTCTAATCATACACTTGCTACATAAAGTTCCTGGTAGATTGTGTTCTCATGAAGAACAATGGGGAAACAAAATAAATATACATTTCCCTTAGTCATGGTTGCTGAGTGAGAACTGGCTGCTGTTGACTCTCTCAATCTAGGCCTACTCGTCTACGCAACATGGCCAACAGACATCACTCTTGTAGGCTGTGATTCTATCTTCACTTACTGCAAACAAAGAGTGTGCTGTCCAATTTTGAAACAGGTTTGTTCAAAGCTTCATAGATGCATTATATACATGTTGCTTTAGGCTACAGATCATACTGCAGGTCCAGAACTGAGGGGTTGTTTGTCTAAGGATATTAGTGGAAAGATAACAATGAGAGACCATGAGAGGCATGTTAGCCTCCTATAAACAGTCGCCCTGTACTGATAAAGAGTCTCTAACACATCGCTAGGACGGGTACCTTCATCAAAGGAAATAGGTTTACAGCTACTGGCATTAAATCCCCATTGTAAGCTAACACAAAGGGAGGCCTTATAAAACATGTATTGGATGAATGGTAATATGGCACCACTCCCTGCCAGAACACAGTGAGCTTCAGTACAGGAGGTATTGGTGATGAAAGCATTGTACCTGGGAGAGACATAAGCCCACCACAAAAACCAAGCAGACATAAAGTCAGGTCTGATTCTGGATACGTGGGGAGTTTGAGCCCCAATTTTCATCCTGATTGTATGGCTGGAAGTACAGGTGAAAAAGTACACTGCACCTGCACACAGCCATTCTGAAATTAGCCCATCCAACTACCTCATCCCCATATTGTTATTTATTTTGCTAATTTGCACCCCAGTATCTCTATTTGCACATCATCTTTTGCACATCTATCATTCCAGTGTTAATACTAAATTGTAACTATTTTGCACTATGGCCTATTTATTGCCTTACCACCATAATTTACTACATTCGCACACACTGTATATATATTTTCTGTTGTATTTTTGACTTTATGTTTTGTTTACCCCATATGTAACTCTGTGTTGTTGTTTTTATCGCACTGCTTTGCTTTATCTTGGCCAGGTCGCAGTTGTAAATGAGAACTTGTTCTCAACTGGCTTACCTGGTTAAATAAAATATATATATATATATTTTTTTAAGACACAGGTAGTGCAGATGTATGGTTTTACCTGGTAGATGGCTTCATCACAGGCATTCTGCAGGCCCAGGTTGATCATGGTGTTCTGAAGGGTCCGGCCCATGTAAAACTCCAATGATAGATAGTGGATCCTCTGAAGATGACATGGATGGGTTTTTAGCATTTCAGACATACTGTATGCATGTAGACAGCCAAAGATACAGATTAGCACAAATATACTGTAGGCGCAATGACTCTGAAACACTGTGGCAAAACGTGGCAATACTGATTTGTGACCTATCATTCAGTGGTGCTACTCAACTTGAGATCATCGGAAGCTGAAGAATCTGTGCTAAAGACTTGGCCAAAGTTGGGTGAGCATGACATTATAAATCACCAGCACACAGAACTGCAGAACCTCTGCTCAGCACTCTGTCACTTGTAGCCTAATGCAGCTCACAATATTTACCGCTCCGACTATTCCCCCTCAGTCCTCCACCACCACCCATGGAATTCCCAGAGAGGAAGTAATACCAGCAGCTCATTAGCACTGTTCAGAATCAGAACCAATGCAAAGTTGTGCCAATGCAAGTGCCAGCTTGATGTTGCCAGATCAGGAGGAAGATGGAGGAAAAAAATGTGTTAATGGTGCTTTCAAGACAACTGGGAACTCTGGAGAAAAAAAACTTGGTCAAATCATGACGTCAGTGATCTTCAGGTCAGAAAGTTGGAGCTCTACAAAGATAGAGTTTCCGACTTGGAATTCCGAGTAGGATCACTGTTCAAAACTATTTTTCCTCCCTGAGTTCCCAATTGTCTTGAAAGCACTGAGGTCGGAAGTATGAGATTTCTGAGTTCCCATTTGTTTTGAACGCAGCATAACTCTGATTAAGGACTGTTTAGTTTCACACAATGGATGGAATGAGTATACAGTTGAAGTCGGAAGTTTACATACACCTTAGCCAAATACATTTAAACTCAGTTTTTCACAATTCCTGACATTTAATCCTAGTATATATTCCCTGTCTTAGGTCAGTTAGGATCACCACTTTATTTTAAGAATGTGAAATGTCAGAATAATAGCAGAGAGAATGATTTATTTCATCTTTTATTTCTTTCATCACATTCCCAGTGGGTCAGAAATGTACATACACTCAATTAGTATTTGGTAGCATTGCCTTTAAATTGTTTAACTTGGGTCAAACGTTTTGGGTAGCCTTCCACAAGCTTCCCACAATAGGTTGGGTGAATTTTGGCCCATTCCTCCTGACAGAGCTGGTGTAACTGAGTCAGGTTTGTAGGCCTCATTGCTCGCACACACCTTTTCAGTTCTGCCCACAAATGTTCTATAGGATTGAGGTCAGGGCTTTGTGATGTCCACTCCAATACCTTGACTTTGCTGTCCTTAAGCCATTTTGCCACAACTTTGGAAGTATGCTTGGGGTCATTGTCCATTTGGAAGACTCATTTGCGACCAAGCTTTAACTTCCTGACTGATGTCTTGAGATGTTGCTTCAATATATCCACATAATTTTCCTTCCTCATGATGCCATCTATTTTGTGAAGTGCACCAGTCCCTCCTGCAGCAAAGCACCCCCACAGCATGATGCTGCCACCCCCGTGCTTCACGGTTGGGATGGTGTTCTTCTGCTTGCAAGCAACCCCCTTTTTCCTCCAAACATAACGATAGTCATTATGGCCAAACAATTATATTTTTGTTTCATCAGACCAGAGGACATTTCTCCAAAAAGTACGATCTTTGTCCCCATGTGCAGTTGCAAACCGTAGTCTGGCTTTTTTATGGCGGTTTTGGAGCAGTGGCTTCTTCCTTGCTGAGCGGCCTTTCAGGTTATGTCGAAATAGGACTCGTTTTACTGTGGATATAGATACTTTTGTACCTGTTTCCTCCAGCATCTTCACAAGGTCATTTGTTGTTGTTCTGGGATTGATTTGCACTTTTTCGCACCAAAGTACGTTCATCTCTAGGAGACAGAACGTGTCTCCTTCCTGAGCGGTATGATGGCTGCGTGGTCCCATGGTGTTTATACTTGCGTACTATTGTTTGTACAGATGAATGTGGTACCTTCAGGCGTTTGGAAATTGCTCCCAACGATGAACCAGACTTGTGGAGGTCTACAATATTTTTCCTGATTTCTTTTGATTTTCCCATGATGTCAAGCAAAGAGGCACTGAGTTTGAAGGTAGGCCTTGAAATACATCCACAGGTACACCTCCAATTGACTCAAATTATGTCAATTAGCCTATCAGAAGTGTCTAAAGCCATGACATCATTTTCTGGAATTTTCCAAGCTTTTTAAAGGCACAGTCAACTTAGTGTATGTAAACTTCTGACCCACTGGAATTGTGATACAGTGAATTATAAGTGAAATAATCTGTCTGTAAACAACTGTTGGAAAAATGACTTGTGTCATGCACAAAGTAGATGTCCTAACCGACTTGCCAAAACTATAGTCTGTTAAAAATAAATGTGTGGAGTGGTTGAAAAACAAGTTTTAATGACTCCAACCTAAGTGTATGTAAACTTCCGACTTCAACTGTATATGCTGGAATTTAGCTCTTAACAATACAAGGTTAAACGGCAACAGGTTTTTCTGTTATTCATACAGAGCTATCATCCTCAAATGAAGCTTCCTTCATGCAGTAGAATCCTTTGGTAGAGAGGACATTACAGTATGACTGAGCTGCTGGGATCTCTAGGTTTGGCTGGAGCCCAATGCTTTGTCCCCAGTAACAACTGCAGCTGCTCTTTACTGATTGAGCAAGCAATGCAGTGCACTCTAAATTCAGATAATTCCCTTTCCAAGTAAAAAGGAAGACTGTGGATTCAGACAATGTTTAGCCTGTTGAGAAGTGAATGTAGAGAAGTGTATACATTTTCTGGCCCACTACTCTGTGATGCTTGTTATGTTACTGATTTTTCACCTTAAAGTGTATGTCAAACAAAAACCACCGATTTAAAAGTTTAACAAACCAAAAAACTCTATGCACAATGAACAGTTGACACAGTAAATAAATAAAAACATTTACTGGAAAGGTTTGGTAACAGAATTAGGGTAAAATCTCCCTCAGTTTTATTCTGTTACCTTTAGCCTGCTAGCAGACACTTATCCAGAGTGACTTACAGGCACAATTAGGGTTAAGTCCTTGCTCAAGGGCACATCAACAGATGTTTTACCTAGTTGGCTCGGGGATTAGAACCAGCGACCTTTCAGTTACTAGCCCAACACTCTTAACCGCTAAGCTATCTGCCACCCCATACCAAACATTGTAGCTGCACAGTTCTTCCTGTAAATGTGTTTTTGTTAAATTTTCTGTGGAAATTGTTAAAAGTAGTCCTTGTGCATAGAGTTGTATGGTTTGTTAAACTTTGAAATAAATGGTTTTTGTTTGGTATACATTTTAAAGTGAAACATCTGAGTCTCAGCATATTTCCTTTATAATGGAATTGCCCTTATGCAATACCTGGCATGTTCATACTGGGACATGTGTAAAAAGGGTATGGCCATGAGAAACATGGACAACCTCTGGCAAAGTTTTGAAAAATAGTCATAAACAATTTAACTAAAAAATGAAGATACAAACAAAATGCTGACTGGCCCATGGCTCTTTCACTATTACCAGCTGAAAACTTAGATCCTGATAAAAACACTTCCTCTGTAGTCTTGTCTTAAAGATATAGGATACTGTACAGCATATTGGAGTAGGTACGCTATTGGTAGCCTAATGCCTGAAAGTAGCGAGTCACTGGTGTGTTAAATTACCAATAGGAAGCGGAAACATTTGTCATACAGTCTATGGAAACAACTGTCATTGCAGTAAATTGTGTAGCCTCTTAGTCCGTGATACACGGACCCCTTTTCCACAGACAGGCTATCTGGGGATAATAAAATAGAAACTTGCCTACAAATAATCACTGCAATTTCAAATTGGGACCATGCAATTATATACATTTATTGCATGTGCAACAAATTAAAAATGAAACCCCGTACCAATTCCTGTATAATTTCAAGGAGATGTTTTCCCCCTTTACCTTTGGATCTTTTTCATAATAATATTGTTGAGTGCGGATCCATCTCCCAACGAGGTGGTCCCTGACTGTGTGAGCCAGGGCAAAGTAGTAATCCCGAGGGGTGGCTACATTGCGATCTTTGACAAGAGTGAAGTGAAGATGCCTGTTGAAGCTTTTCTTGATTTCTGCTACATCGCCCAGTCCTGCAATGCCACGCACGCTGATCTGTTTTCTCTTTTCATGGTCACTCAGTGGGGTGCTCATAGCTTCTAATAAACGCTATCCGGACTTGTGCAAGGTTTGAATTGATTAGAAGTGAGTAAGAAAATCCACCCCTGACAGACCTTGGAGGTGGCAGAGAGTTCGTTCCTAGAAGACAAGGGACGACAACATACATCCTCGAGAGACCCCCTTAATTCTGACTGGACGAGGTTATTCTGACAGTATAAAGAGATGGGAGGGGAGTGAGGAACCAATGGGAGGGGGGGAGGCAGGAACGCCACATGCAGGAACGCCCCGAATTGCGGGCTGCAGTTGCACATTATTGCGTGCAGATGGCAACCTCCCAATATTCTGCAATGGAAAAGTCTCAACGGAATCCTTGGGACGTCCCGCAGCGAAGCGAGATATTCAGCATTGTTTCGCGGAAGCTCCCAACCAGCAAGACCCACGCCACACGCCATTGGCCGTTCGGCTTTCACCGCCGCGATAGGAGAAGCAGTCTGCCTGCAGCAGTGCCGCGTCCAACCAGCTAGTACAATTGACTGCCAGATCGCAACAGTGTTGCCATGTTCGCGGTTTTCCTGAACCAAATTGGGCTACTACGAAAACGATGTCGCGGGTGAAAATGTATTGGTCGCGGGTTGTGGGTTTTTGGGCTATTTTTAAGTTGCACTGCAGCCGCTATGGCATTTCTCTTTAAAAATATATATTTCACTGTGACCTGCTGCTGACTGTCAGGCAGTGAGGCAGGCTGTTGCTGAGTGAGTTAGTGGTGCTGTACAAAAGGCTGTGAAGGATTTGTACTTAATCATATCAGTAATGTTAGTTCATCATATCAGAGCTGTAGCGCCGCCCACCGGTGAAGTGGAGCAGAGCATGCTGGGCGATCTCCAGCTCAGAGAAGATGATCAGCTCGAGAGAAGTCAAGTGAGGGAAAGTTCCAGCCATCCTTGTGTTTTCCCACCAGTTAGCTTTCATTGTGTTAGCCAAGGCCAGTGAGCGTCCTTGTTGATATGTTAGTACATATTTCATATCTTTCAGGTGTTTATGTCTGAAAATGCACTCTGCGATGATAATGTCATATTTTAGGTTATGCTAATTAGCAGTTTCTACGGCAAGCTAGCTATTGTTTATATGCCCACGTGTATGGTACATCATTATATGGGTATTACATTTCACTGTTTAGAGGTATTCAAGTTCATTGTGCAGTTGTAGTTCTGTACTAAAGATGATGGTTCTATGCTTTGTAGCACACGTGCGCGGCGGCACCCCTTTGATCTCAATCAGTGTTGCCAATTTAGCGACTTTGTCGCTATATTTAGCAAGTATTCATACCCCTCTAGTGACACATTTTCAAAAAATCGACTAGCGACAAATCTAGCGACTTTTTCTGGTGTTATTGGAGACTTTGACGTGAAAGCACGTATCGTTCTTACTCTTCTCAATGAGCAGCGGGTGCTGCCGTGGGCCCTACCCCAGGAGTGGGAATCAAACCCTGAATTCAAAGGCTGGTTGAAGCCGTTTATTGGATATGATACATGGGCATACTACCTGTATTGTAAGGCTGATTTCTACGCCAAACGTAGTGATGTAAAAAAACACATGACAACTCTAAAACATACTCAAAAGGCAAAGCCTTATAACAGTTCCACCCAAAACAAGCTGCCATTTATGTTTAAAAAGTTTACTCTGCAAAAAAGGCTGAGGCCACCATGGCATTAGCTATCGCTGAACACCGTTCCATGCTGGCATGTGATCACATTGGAGAAGCATGTAGAGCTGCTTTCTCAGACTCCACTGCTGCTACCCACTTCAAAATGCACAGGACAAAGTGCACAGAAATTATTAATGGTCTTCTAGCACCATACTTTCTGAAAAAGTTGGTCGCACTTGTGGGTGACCAGCGTTTCAGCCTCCTCCTCGATGAGTCCACGGATGTAAGTGTTTCTAAGTACCTGGGGGTTGTGATAAGGTACTTTAGTGACACCAAGCAGACAATTGTATCAACATTTCTGGGGCTTGTTGAGTTGGAGGGAGGAGATGCCAAATCTATAGCTCGTGCTGTTGTGGCTTTCCTCGAGAAGTGTTGTCTTAAAAAAGAGAAACTCCTGGGGATAGGGACTGACAATGCCTCTGATATGACGGGGATTAACAATGGGGTCCATAAAGTGCTGAAGGAGGAGTATGGCCTCAAAGATCTGGTTCTTATTCGCTGTGTGTGCCACTCTCTGCAGCTTGCTGTAAGTCATGCTTCCAATGACACCATCCCCCGTAGTGTGGAGTACTTGGTACGAGAGACTTATAACTGGTTTTCAGTGTCTCCAACGTGCAGGGAGGCCTACAAGGCCATATATGAGACCATCAACTGTGGGGAGAAACCTTTACAGATAACCAAGGTGTGTGCAACACGTTGGCTCTCCATTGAACCCGCGGTTTCACGCATTTTGGACCAGTGGGAGGAGCTTAGGCTGCATTTCTCAGTCACTAAGTCCAGTGAACACTGCTACATGGCTGAGGCTGTATACTCCATGTACAGTGATCCTCAAAACATATTGTATCTGACTTGTTTGAAGTCAGTGCTGGGTGAGGTACAGTTGGCCATCAAGGCTTTTGAGGGAGAGCAAGTAGACCCTCTTAAGCTACTTGACAGCTTGGTTAGCCTGATCAAGTCTGTGAGCAGCAGGGTGCTGAATCCACTGGCAAATGTTGATGTACTCAAAGGGCCAATAGATGGATACATCAGTTCCAAACCGTACCTTGGTTACCTTTTTGAGTCAAAGGCAGCTGAGCTCCACCTTGCACCTGAGGATGAAAGCAATGTCCGAAGGCGGTGTATAGCCTTCACCATCTCCCTCACTAATGAGTTGAGGGTGAGACTGCCGGACAACATCAAAGCATTGCAGTACATGTCAGTTTTCAATGTGGAGGAAACTCTAAAGCACAATAACAACCCTGGAGAAATAGAAAAAATAGCCAAGCTCCTTGGCTACTCCCCTGCAGAGATAGACAAGATTGTCCAGCAATGGCGTGCCATCCATCTTAGTAAATGGAATGAGACAAAAAACACACTGGGCTTCTGGTGTGAGATTTGGAAGTTCAGGGATGCAGCTGATATTAACCCGTTTCAAGAACTTGCCATGGCTGCTGTGTCTGTGTTGTCCTTGCCACACTCGAATGCTGAAGTCGAGAGAGTATTCAGCCAGATGAGTGTGGTAAAAAGCAAACTTAGAAATCGGATGTCCTTGCAGACCCTTAACTCCATCCTATACATTCGATATGGACTGAAGCTGTCTGGTGAGGCTTGCTATGAGCACCAGCTGCCTGATAATGTTTTGCAGCTTTTTGGCACATCAGCTGCTTACTAATTTAAGTCAGCTCCCTCAGTTGCTGAACCTGCCATAGAGAGCCTTGACCAAAATGACGATGACCCACTCTTTCTGTGAGCCAGCACAGTCTGTGTGTGTGTGGAGGGGGGTCTGGAAAAAACAAACAATTAACCTGAATTAGGGCCAGACTAGTTACCATCCTTTTCTCACATTGCCATTGACAGTTTTTTCTATTGTCTCTTTTTGGTCCATTTAGATTGTTAATGTAGATTGTATACAAAAAAAATTGTTAAAATGTTATGGTTAAAAATGTTCATGTTTTACTGTGACTTGTTGTAGGCTCCTAAGTGGACCATAAGGTTAAAAACCAAACCAAACTTAAGAAAACGAAACTAAAAAACGAAACTAAAATAAAAAAATTCAACATTAAAAACTAAGTAACTCCGCCAGAGTGTCTCTTTTGGGTCACTTTTGCCGGTCCCAAGCCCGGATAAAGGAGGAGGGTTGGAATTGTGACATAAAAAAAAACAAGAATCGACAGAAGAAAGTACATTTGTAGTTCTAAACATATTTAGGGTGTTTTTTACTCACTTTTTGTCTCTCCCACAACATTATCCCTGTCTCCTACTGCTTCCATCACAGTTACATGCACATGGCCAATTATGGAAATTAGGTGATGACGTCATTTAGCGACTTTTAGGATGGCCAATAGCTACTTTCCTTACTGAGGAGTTGGCAACACTGAATTATTCTCAATTAGTGCAGTCACAGTCACTTTGTATTGCGCTGTATGGTCCTGTATAGCATTAAGTCATCATAGTCATATTATAGCCATGCATATTGTTTATAAGAGAATTGGAGATTGTATTCTGTCATTCGCTATTGTATCTTTATTTATCTCTTTACTTGCACACACACACACACACTTTGGTTGAAGCAAGTTGCCAGACAACTAAGTGCCTTAGCCCATCCGTACTAACACTGTGCGGTGCTGTTCCGTGCCTGTGCATCTTCAGCGTTTTTAAACCACCTCAACTGGAATCTTACCGGTCTTTCATCTGTGCCTTTACCAGCACATGGGAGCGAACACATCAAGTAAAACCTAACCTAAAGAATATACAGTCCACAAAGTCCTCACTTACAGGTGGGGAGGGCCAGAGGGGTGTGTTTGAATGCACTACAGCTATGAGCGAGAGGAGCGGGAGCAGCACGCACACGTCGTGACAACTTTTTACCAGTTGTAGGTAGGCTATTTAGATTGTCATTATGGAGACGCCTATTTCCAACCCCTTTTTCGTAAAACATATTCATACGCTAAAACTGATGCACATCAAGAAATAATGGAAACGAAGCACTGGAAAACGACGTTGGGCGCACTAGAGCGCATTACATACATTCGCTCGAGATGGTTTAAACTGCATTCTAATGTTGACTTTGCTTAAAGAAACTGTATCAAGCGAAGTGTTTTATGCATGCTCAGTTCTTGGGTCTCGGGGGCTGCCTGAGTGGACATTTGAAATGGAAGGTATGGAACTCCCTCCCATGGTTCTTTTCATGGGGAAAAGTCTTCAATGAAACTGACATTAAATGTGGAGAATGTTTCATTTGCCACCAAGTAGCCTATTAATGTATATGCCATTGTAGGCTACCATTTGATACAATAAATATGTTGAAATTATGATAGCATTGGAGTCATTGCAAATACATTTGTGCAACTTGTGTAGCCTACCTGGAGCTGGCAAACCAATTTAATAAATAGCCTATAACTTAAGTGTATTGTTGTTGTAGCCTTATGTTATTAAATTATTAATGGACATGTTTAGTCAATTAAATTGGAAGTTACCAAAGCTCTATCGTAATTGCCGATCAGTTGTTAGAACGCATTAGATTGGGAAAAAGGGTTTATTGTATACATATGGCAACTCCTCTCTTGCTGTGAGGTTTAGAGTGTTTATTGGACTGGAAATTTTAGATCACCTGGCAACACTGGATAGCAAGCTAAATGCAACCCTACATGTATACTGAACAAAAATATAAACTTAACATGTTATAATTTCAACGATTTTCTGAGTTACAGTTCATAGAAAGAAACCAGTCAATTGAAATTAATTAATTAGGCCCTAATCTATGGATTTCACATGACTGGGCAGGGGTGCAGCCATGGGTGGCCCTGGGAGGTCATAGGCCCACCCACTGTGGAGCCAGGCCCAGCCAATCAGAATGAGTTTTTCCCCATAAAAGGGCTTTATTACAGACAGAAATATTCCTCAGTTTCATCAGCTGTCCGGGTGGCTGGTCTTAAACGATCCCGCAGATAAAGAAAGTCGGATGTGGACGTCCTGGGCTGGCGTGGTTACACGTAGTCTGCGGTTTTGAGGCCAGTTGGACGTACTGCCAAATTCTCTAAAACGATGTTGGAGGCGGCTTATGGTAAAGAAATGAACATTCAATTATCTGGCAACCACTCTGGTGGACATTCCTGCAGTCAGCATGCCAATTGCAAGCTCCCTCAAAACTTGAGACATCTGTGGCATTGTTTTGTGACAAAACTGCACATTTTAGTGGCCTTTTATTGTCCCCAGCACAAGGTGCACCTGTGTAATTATCATGCTGTTTAATCAG